GTGGCTGTTGATTACGATCCGGTCGAAGGAAAGGTTTATTGGACAGATGTGACGTTAAAACTGGTGGCCAGTTCATTTCCTAACGGGTCTTCAGTCAGAGTCATCGCGCACACTAATGTTACTACTCCTGGAGGACTGGCAGTAGATTATGTTGGACGTAATATTTACTGGACAGATGAGGGAACAAGTAGAATTGAGGTGGCAAAGTTAGATGGGTCGTCTAGAAGGGGTCTAATCACATCAAGCATTGAACAGCCAAGAGCTATACTACTCGACATTGCAGAAAGGTAATCTAAGAAGCCACGGTAATACGTATTTACTCAGACGTTTATTTGTTTCCATTTATAAATGTGGATATTTCATACAGAACAATATTATCAGGTTAAGTCTCTCTTATAGCTACTGTTATTTTTCTGTATGGTAATAAAATTGGAGTCGGGCTACGTGGAGAATGGTGGTAAGTCTTTGGAAAAGGCAGGTTGTGTACAGAGGGTATTTGGCAGTCTCTGAGAGATTTTCGGGAGATTCATTTGCAAATATCCAGATATCTAGTGGCAAATCGAACTTGCTCGGGCTATCGATATGTATAATATCAAAAAAAAAAAAATTTTGGAAAGATATTATTATTTGCACTTGAATACAATATCTGTATCGCGAAACTATTGTAGGACACTCTCTCTGTACAATGACTTATAAGAAAATGTTAAATTATCCTTTCAGAAAGATGTATTGGGGCAGTCGGGGATCATCGTCAAGGATTGAACAAGCCAACATGGACGGTTCTAACAGGACAACTCTTGTTAGTTCCGGACTTGTGTGGGTAAACTCGCTCGCTATGGATTACCAAGGTAGGATGCTGTACTGGTGCGATGCGAACCTCGATAGGATTGAGAGGGTGGACCTACAAGGAAATAACCGAGCACTGATGCTGGATTTATCGTTGGATAAGCACCCTTTTGGACTCGCCCTATATAATGACGTTCTGTACTGGTCTGATTGGAACAGCCAAAGCATTCACAAATACAACATGACATCTTCTGTAACAGAAGTCGTTTCTCGTGGAATGGGAACCCTAATGGAGCTGCACATTTATGATAGCACGGAGACTTTTAACGGTATGCAGGTTCCGTTTAGTTGTCCACAACTATTTTCTAGCCAGCGTTTTTAAGGAAAGGGAGTGTACATATTTTACTGACAGCTGACGGCAAGTTGCGTAATTTAAAGCCAGCCTTAAGGACAAACTAAATACCGGCGAATAAACTAACTGAATTATGAGTTCCTGATGACAAACGGCCATATTTAATAATAGGTAATTCAACTCTAGTTAGGCTGCGTTTTATTTGCGTATCGAAAGTAATCAGGCAATAACTTTAGTTTTGATTTTGGTTTTTACTACGGCATGAGATCGGCTGAGTAGTCTAATTGGCAAGTAATTGGCTTTGTTTTGGTTTAATGACACTTTGACACTGCTGGAAACCGCGCTATAGCTGACATGACGTAGGTACAGTTTGTAAGAGAGCCACTTCCTTGAATTAATATCACCTTTGTCTTGTAATACTGTGAAAATTACAAAACTGCCCTTAACTATTACCCTGAAAAAGAAATTGTGGTAGAATACATGACAACTAATTGGAAATTTAATCAAGCCTTAACTTTGCATACACAATATTCTAAGGTGTAGTGTAAATAAGAAAACCAAATTAAATGCCTGGTCTCGTAGGATCCACCAACTGCTCTCAGTTAAATGGAGGATGCAGCCACCTTTGTCTACCAAATCCACAAGGCCATCAATGCTCTTGTCCAGAAGGAGTACAGTTGAATCCTGCTGACCCCTTTATTTGTCAAGGAGGTAAGGTCTTGTGCTGCAAAGAATCCCACCATGTTTAATGGGTTGGATCGTAGTATCTTTTGACAATTTATTGTAACTTTTTGCTGATAATGCCTCGTAATTATCTTATTAACTAGCATGGAAATAAGATTTTTTTTTTCAATAATATTTACCAAACTAAATTCTATCCCAACGTTTAATTCCACGCATTTTTAACTAATGGATCAGTCCCGGTGATTCTTCTTCCCTTTTTGCCCTTGCTTTTCTGGTACTTCCTTTATAGTCTTTCCTGCGCTACAGTCTAAACCATGCTTTTAGAACTCATGTTTTTTTTTAAACACGCTTATATCTAAATGTCTCAGATCTGTATCGTGATTTACTTCTTTCACCGTAATGTTACGCAATGTATCTGGTATTGTGTGTCAGTACACAAACGCACTTATCACTGTATTCCAAACCTTGTGGCTTATTATTGTTTTAGAGTTGATCTCGAGTTTTTCAGCGTCACAAAATTACACTCCTATTCGAAATCTAAGAGGCATACGTAAGTTACCTTCAAAAATGTAAATTTCGTTACTTGATTCTCGGCACAGTGAACCGCTGCCCCCAGCTGTCAGCGCCCACCCAAGGACATTTAGAGACATGCTCCGATTTGCCAGGGGAAATCTGTCGGTTCTCTTGTGATATGGGGTACGTCCTGACTGGATCAGTAACAAGGACATGTAACAGCAATGGAACATGGACTGGAACACAGCCTCAGTGTAATGGTAAGGTTTAATTCTTGATGATGATTGATAAGCGTCACAATATGGGAGCATTTTCCAAACACTTGGATATTAATCAAGGAACCTGATACGTGTGATTAAGAAATGGGATAATGAGAAACCTGTCTTTCATTCGATTTATTTCGTCTCCCATTTCGATACCAAGGCCTAGTTTTGTAAAAAGTAGAGTTCTTAAGAGCTGTCACGGAGACATTAATGTAATCACAGACAGACAGATGGACGGAAGGACTTATGGACGGACAGAAAGATTTGCTACAATTTCCTAGATTTGCCATTTCCTATGTATAGGTCCGGATTGCCAAACTATATTATCATTTTTAGGCATGATAATAGACGCGAATGCCGCCATGACACAACTGGCTTTAGGTTTGGAACGGGATCAAAGCCTGCATTTTTTTTAGGTCATTTTTCCAGTAGCGTCATGGCTTCATTCTCATTTATCATCATGTCTACATTTAATTGCTATCTTTGGAAATATATTACTATATCATCATTTGTTTACAACTTTTTTTTTTTTACCTTATCTTCCGCTCAGCCAAGTAAAACATTATCTAAATTCTCAAAACTTTCCGCCATTCTTAAACACAGAGGGTAAAACTTTGCAATGATGAGGTCATTCGTGTGTCTGTCCTCTAATAGATCATATGCGAGAACCGATCAAAATGCGAGAATAATTTTGTTTATTATGTAAACTATAACAGCTCATAGAGTCGTTGCTAATGAAGAGCTTATTCATATTGCAGACGTTCTTCCTCCGACATTCGGCGAGACATGTCCATCAAGTCCGTTAGTAGTGTATGCAGAACGCGATCTGTTTTCAGCAGAAGTGAACTGGACTGAGCCAGCTGCTACTGACAACTCAAGAATTCTACTCACCATGTCATCAAATCACAAGCCGTTTGAAAGATTCAGCCAGGGAACTCACGTGATCACATACACTGCCGCTGACCAATCAGGAAACAAGGCCACATGTACCTTCACGATTGACGTCAGAGGTAAAAATGATGCCAAATTTATCCAGCTAACTCACATGTATGTGTTTCACATGTAAGGACTGCATATAAGGACTATTGAGAATCAGACATGTTTTCTAGTTTTATGCTTGTGGTAGGGCTGTGTTAAGGTTTGCACTTGTTTCTAGAGAATTGTCATGCCTTTAAGCAAAGATCAGTAAGTAGAAAAGGTGCTTGCAATTAAGACAAGAGATGATGCTAACAAGTTTTCTGTAAATGTCAACAGTGATCAATTGCACGTCTTTAACAGTCGATCCAGGACTTCCACTGCGCCTGAGCAGCTGTGCTAGTCATTTTGGGGTAAAATGTAACTTTTCTTGTACGATTGGTTATCGCTTGAACGGATCATCAACGCTGACTTGTGTTGCACCGGGTAACAAGCCTCCGGGATACTGGGACAATCCTCTGCCTAGCTGCGAAGGTATGCGAGAAAGAATATATCTTTGAAGCACTCAAGTGATATCTCTTCGGAATGTTACAATATGTAGAGGTCTGTCTTGTCATGCCATGTCATCCTAAG